GGTGTTAGCAATCTCACCGTAGGAAACAGACTTCTCAAGTAACTTTGCCAAGGTCCCACCACACTAAATGGGCAGAGCCAGATTTGAATTCTGGCACTCTAATTCCATAGTATATATACATATTTAAATATTATACTAGTTCTCTACTTAATAGGGCTTTATGATACCTATTTGTCTATATTCTTCTCTTTGACTGATGTCATTCAATTCCCCACAGCTTCAACTACCACCTAAGACTTGCCAACAACTTGCAAAAGTTGTTGACTCTATTCTCTTTCAGAGTCACAGACCAATTTCTAACCATCTACTAAAAGACGTCACCAGTATATTAGTAGAACCTCAATTACGACATAGCCAAACTTGAACACAAACACCACATTCCCTCACAAACTTCCTTTTTCCTGCATCCCAGTGTTAGTGACTGATATCAGACACTGGCAGGTCATTCAACCTGGAATGCTCAGAGGTCTTCTGAGTACATCTCCGTCTCTTATACGGCACAGCCAAGGTCACCAAGCTCTACCAAGTCTACCTCCAAAAAAAAAAAGCCAGTGGCCCCTCTTCCTCAAAGCTCAGCCACAAATTTAGCTCAAGTATGCATCTGCAGGCTTGGATTATTGCACTTGCCCTACAATAGCAAACCATTCACTTCCCCTCCAGCCCTGTTCTCCCTCTTCAAATAATTTTCTGTACTGCCAAGAGAATTACTTTGCTAAAATTAGCTCAGAAACTTTTGATGATTTCCTACTGCCCTGAAAATAAAATCTGAGCTCCTTCCTTAGCATGGCATAAAAAGGACGCTACAAAAGAATCTGGTCTAGACTGTTTCAGGACTAAATTCTCACCACCAAACCTTCAAGCATCCTACTCTACTCTTCACTAATCCCTGAAGAGGCAGTATACTTCTTTACTCCTTTGTGTCTTTGCAGATCTATTCCTTCTGCCCAGATCACCTTTTGTTCCCTTCTCTGCTTCACAAACTGCTACTCATTCTTTTAAGGCCAGTTCAAACATTATGTTTTCTGTGAAAACTTTCTGGATTTTTCCAGCAGAGACAGTATCCTATGGCCATCTCGCTCAGAGCTTAACAACAGACAGGTGCTCAATTATGGTTCTCTTAGCTGAAGTATCTTAAAATGGTTTACTGACAGAAAACTTGTGGGAAAACTGCCTATGCCTAACAAAGCATCTGACTGAACAAAAGATTCAGATATTAAGTACCTTCCAGTCTTTGGGATCAAGTGTTTTCAACATGGGAAACTCTTCTAACTGCAATTCTTCATCTTCCGATTCCTCTGATAACTCTTTCTTATCCTCCAGTTCCTGAAAAGAGGCAGAAGCATTCCTGTTTCTCCTCTTAACAAAAGCTTCAAACCATCTTCCCACAGGTTCAACTTGACAGAGTGTTGAGGCTGTGATTGAAAGCGTTAAGAGAGGCTTCAATGTATTGCATGGAATAAATCTATTTCAAGGCAATAAATAAGATCAAAACAGCGATAGCATCAGAATGTAATTTTAAAACCATCAACTAAGGAAATAATTGCAGTACAGGGATACTTGGGAGATAGTGCAGGTTTGGTTCCAGACCACCACAATAAAGCAAAAATACTGCAAAAAAGTGAATCAAATATGTTTTTTGGTTCCTCAGTGCATATAAAAGTTCTGTTTACGCTATGCTAACGTCTAAGAAACAATGGACACACCTTAATTGAAAAATACTTTATTGCCCAAAAATGGTAACCATCATCCAGGCTGTCAGCTAGTCATAATCACTGATCACAGATCACCATGACAAACAACAATGAAAAAGTCTGAAATACTGTATTACCAAAATGTGACAGAGACCCAAAGTAAGCAAATACTGCTGGAGAAATTGTGCTGATGGATTTGCTCAACACAGGGTTACCATAAACCTTCAATTTGTAAAAAATGCAGTATCACTGAAGCACAATAAAGTAAAATGCCATAAAACAAGGTAAGCCTGCAATCCAGTTAACATGAGGGTTAGCAATAATCATTTCCTAGTATTCAGAGTATTCAAACCACCTCTTTGAGTTATCTGACAAAGCATTCAGCAACGTCAACAATAAATCAATACTTTTCTGAAGGTATGAGAGGAAGGTGAGGAACAGGGATAACTGCTGCCAACTGCTTTACTGTTAGACCAATAACTGTAATAAAACAATAAATGATAAACTGTCTCCAAAATACTAACCTCATCAAAAAACTGTTCTAAAAACAACTCAAAATATTTTAACTAAAACCTTGAATTCAGCTTTTAAAAATTTTAAGAACTCACTAGCAATGATTCTGGAAGACAATTCTCCAAGCAGCTAAAGAGGTTTAACTAACACAGCTATGCTATAGGGTAAAAGCTCTGGATCTGATATCAAAAGCTCTGGATTTAGTCTAAGTCTGACAATTAGCAACTACGTGCAATGGGTCAGAGATGTCTTCAACCGTAATATGGGAACAATATTTATCTTCTATGGCTCCTTGGAAGACTGAATGAAAAACCGTATTTGAAACCACTCTGAAAATCACAACCTCTTGAATCAAAGTAAGGTTTTACGAAGATAAATCACTGCACATTTGTACATTAACGACTCAAAAAAGGTCATCTGAGTCAGGGGGAAAAAACCATGAACACTTTAACTTCATAGTCCACGCAAAAGCAAAAGACTTTGCCCTGTAGCAATAAGTAACTCAAATGTTGTTTCCCATTGTACCTAATGGCCACAATTTTCTAAAAATAACTTATTTTTCATGCTTTAGTTGGTTTGGGAAATTAAGATTTCCTGTACCATACACAGGAGAGAATTCAAACACTATGTTCAAGAAGTACTAGCTGTGTGGTATGGGTGTGGCTTTTAAGAACATCACCTTTCAAGCCTTTCCTTTTAGTTTAAGATCACAGAGACTTCCGCAAGCAGAACACAACACGTGCCATGAGATAGGATCAAAATCCAACAACTGTCTCTATAAGCGGCTATGGTAATTAACGTGGATGGCTGAAACTAGAGACTAAGTTTATCATACCCACGACTGTCCTGGGCTATAAATTTAAGAAACTACAGAAGCAGTCAACTCTCAATGACTCTTTCAAAGTCTGCCTACACAAATCTTAGCAGCATCACCGGCAAAGGTCTTTTCATACTGAGGTTTTGAGTATGAGGAGCAGTCTCTAAGCTTTGACATTTAAAAATCAAAGAAGGTACTAACACAGAGAGGGAGAAAGATGTTTAACAGAGCACCAGCAGCAAGGCTTTGTACGACGCGAGGCACGTGGGAGCTCGCTGCGGGCAATCTCTTGACCTAGGCAAGGAGATGCTTACAAGAACCTTTTTAGGCTACTAGACGGTTCGGCCCCGAACTGCTCCGCCCGATCCATGAGTCAGCAGCGGCGAAAGGAGGAAGAACTGTCGGGGCAGAAAGAAGACGCCCCCTCCCTTCTTCCAGTCTGGAGAAGGATTTCTTTTGCCTGGAGCAAAAAGTCACTCGTCACGGCCCACGCGTCCGGGTGCCAGGCACCAGGGACAAGAAGGGAGAGATTTCGGGGTCGCGCAGGTGGAGGGCGGAGGCAGGGGCGGCTAAGAGGGGACCAGCCGGGGTTGAGTGGGCACGTACCAGAGGTCAGAGCGTGGGTGATGGCGGTGCCCTGGCCGTCCGCAGCGCTCGGCAGGAGCAGCATGATGGCGCCGGGGCCGGCCCCGCAGGCGCAGCGGTTAGCGTCCTGGGCCGGGGGCGCTTAGGGTCCCCTCCGGCTCTACCTCTGGGTCCGAGCCTCGCGCCTTGGCTCTACGACGCCCAGGAACCGGCGCATGGAGACGACCAACAACTACTTCCGGGATGGATCTTTCGCGGTGCGGAGGCCAATTCCACCCGCACACACCGCGCCAACGTGTGCGGCAGCCTAGTTACTCTAATGACTCGGATCCGGCTGGGGACCAAGACTCACAAAAGAAAGGTTCCTAGACTCCTCAGTTCCGCGGCGAAAAGGATTACTTTATTCCCCTAGGTGCGATACGTGGAGCATAATTTTCTGAAGCAGTTCCTACTATGCTATTTTTATTTTTAAATCACTATTTGCCCGAGACTAACCACTAACTTCTCAAGTAGCTCTACTTATATAAATAAAAAATGAAAAGATATCTATGCATTAATATTGGGAACAATTATTGTAGTCTATATACATCTATAGAGAATTTTGTACATATACCTATATTTGCACTTATATAAATAATAATGGCAGCCTGTATTTGTTGCGATATTACTCAGTAATTTACCTGCGTTGTCTCGTTTAATCCTTGTAACGTTTGGCAAAGAACACCTCCTCAGTGTTAGCTTCTACTGGAAGACCGGCAATCTTTTTACCCTGTTCTAAAAGCATGAAGTTTTTTTTGTTGTTGTTGTTGTTTTTCTAAGATATTACCAATTACAGAACTCTGGAACTTAATTGTTTAATGTATAATAAAATCCACTGTACGCTTATTATGATTCCTTCTTACGGTCAAAAGCAAGAACTAGCAAAAGAAAACCAGTCGATGAAGATTCACACACATCCCCTCCACACTAAGCTTCCCCCCCCCCCCATCCCCAGTATCTGGAATAGGTTGCACAAAATAAAAGACTTGATGTGCTACCCTTTGGGAAAGAGCACCGGAAGTTAGAGAATTATTCTCTATGAATTACATTTTCAGTTAAATCCATTGATTTGTCCCGTTATCTACCCCATGACAAAATTGTCACTTCACAACTGACATTTCAAAACCTAAGATAAGCAACTCCCCCTAAAGCTATCCCTGACCCCTTGCTTAAAAAAAAAA